CTCTGATAGTCAGTGGGCATCCCCTTTGCATATGTTCTCAAACAAGAATGAATGTGACTGGCGACCGTGCGGGGATTACAGAGCCCTCACCCGTCAAACCGTACCAGATAGGTACCCAATACCGCATATCCAAGATTTCACAAACGGTTTACAGGGTATGAACATATTCATTAAAATTAACTTAGACAGGGCATATCACAATATCCTGGTGGCTGATTAAGATATCCCCAAGTCACCTATTACTACACCCTTTGGCTTATTCGAGTTTGTACGCATGCCATTCGGCCTAAGAAACGCGGCACTTCCTCAGATATTCTCATTCCACATTTTCACACTCTTTCTCTTGAAAGCACACAGCAAACCGTCAGCGATAGTTGTAGAAGAAATCACATGCTACAAAATAAGATGACAAGTTAGTAAATGAATAGACATCCATGGAATATCGTTGACAGCTGACAGCGTTCGTTGCCACTGATTGTAAGTCAAACATTGAGCGAGTTGATAATTTCCCCTTGGGATGAGAAATAGAACTAAGGTGTTTTTGATAGATAGGTTAATCGAACCGACGTTCACACGGAAGTCGATTCTAGAGGGAAGGTAATGTAACAGCATAGGTTGGTTGGTTAAGAGTTGACCCCAAACAACCAAGAATATGCCAAAACAGTATTGTTCAGGTATTCATTCACTTCCTTATTTTGTATAAGCATTATATTCCTTATTATCTTTTATTGAATGTTGAAAACCTTTGTTTGTCCGAATAGATAATCCCACACTCCACTGTGACTGCGCTAAGATCGAAATAAAGACCTACTCACCACTTGTCTGGTTTCTTCTATCAATAGCACGAGGGTTATCTATAGGTACGAAAGGTTCACCTAAGCTGTTTTGGAGTATTACGACAGCGAGGACTATCACCAAAGATGTCAACAACTCAAATAAGAACCACTCTAGATCAGGAGTATCAAATCAAACTTTATCCTTATCTACCGGATTGTTGACGATATTTTCTACTCCCCGGTATCCACTTCTTCATACTCTATGTTATCATCCCACATTCTACGCAAAAAGAAAAATATTCTAGAGATTCCAAGAACCCACACAAACTGACGCCGGAATCATTCCGTTATTCGCTACTCAACCATGTGGAACAGACTGCCAGTGAACCTCTGTTGCAGTGAAACCACAACCCGGTTCAGAAGTCTCCTTGATGATTTTCTTTCCGAAAGTGGATTGTGTCACCTATTTAATATCAATGTATTCAATAATGATTTATACAAACAATGTCCGTCATCCATCTAATTGCCTGAAAAGCAACATGTAACCTTCGAAACTTTTCACGTCCATTTTATTTTCCCTCTATTCATCTTAATATATGAAGTCTGCTTATGTTTGCATTTATCATTATTGCCGTTGGTAATATCATTATTGGTCACCCGATACATTAGATATTCTTTTTATCTCTTCTTGTCCTTCTAAACGTATTTAATTCCAGATTGTCCTTTGAAATCAATTGTGACTTTCATAGCATCATTCCTACTTATGATTGCACAAATGTTTATACTAATATCCGGTTTCACTCTGTATACTATTACATAAATCTAAATGTATTAATCGGAGTGCACTAAAGGATTTTTATTTTATTTTTCTCAATTACTGGCTTACTTATGAAGTGGATATTCATTACACAACAATTATTCTTATCATGGATGAACTCTTTCACTAGATGTTCATTTCTTTTTTCTCTCTTTTTTCCTCCTAAATAAATATTATTCCTCAGATTACGAAGTTCGCAATTAGGACAATAACTTGTGTTACTTTTAACTTAACTTCTCAGATTCGTTCTATCTTCTCTATGCATATATGATCCATGCATATTGATATTTCGTTATCCTTTTCATTTATTTGAGACTTTCATAGCATTACTTCAAACTATGGCTGCACAAACTTTTATTCTAGCATCATATCTTACTGCGATAACAAGTTATTTTTTTCTAATTATTTTTTGTGGCTAATTTGACGATATATACATGGTCGTTTATTCATGTTCTGTGTTCATAAACACGCCTATTAAAGTATTTACTTATTTCTCGTCTCCTTTATTTCCATTCCGTTATTTTCTTATTTTTTTCTTGAAAGTCAATTCAGTATTCTCAATTACACAGACCAGATTTATTATTATTATTCTATTATTATTACTCTTTTTTAAAATATGGCAAATATAATGCTAACATCATTGAAAATAGTGTATTATTGCATTCTTTGAAGATACCCGAAAAGGTTTCTTCACAACATTTATGTACCCATAAGATGTTTGTGAATAATAATAATAATGCGGATGAATAACCGAGCACCTTTAGCTAGGTGAGTCCATCAATATTAATGTGGTGAGCATTCAATGTTGAAGAGTTACAGAGCTATTTATTTTGCTGATTTATTTACCGATACGCTATAAAAATGAAGACTGGTCCTTCCCTGTTCATCGTAGTTCTTCATGAGAAATTACTCGAACAGTAATGGAATGTCCTCCTTCCTCTTGTCAACCGCCAGTTAACTCTCCGTGTTCTGCGGTCACTTCTACAACATACAATTTAATACACGACTTCCAATCTCTGTGGATATGGGAATCTCTCACCAAATAATGGCATTACGTGGCTGTTTCATAAGTTGTGATCGCGCTTTTTAACGGTTTATTTGATTGGAAATCTATGAAGTGCAATGTATTAAACAACAAATTCTCGGTTTCTGTGACAGCGTAAGGGACGACAGAGCTTGTACTTTGTACTTTGCCATCGTCCACAATTTGAACAAAATATACTCTGTCGACAAGTACTAACATTTTATAACAATTTTAAGACATAACTAACCAAATATAACGAATTTAAAACTAGCAATTTAATTGTACGAAACAAAATGAAAAATATTGAAAAATGGGGTGAAAAAGTTTTCTAATGGGATGAAAAAAATTACAAAAATGAATGGTCGTTTAGTGGTATTCCCTATGCTAAGTTCTCGTGTTGTTGATGTATCTACATCTAATGGGATGTTTGTGGGCTCTTCTTTGACGTTCGCTGTGTTCAGTGGATTCGTTTTATTCAGGATCTGCCAAAAATTTAACAACCTCTTGTTGCCCTGCTCTAGATTCCAGTGACTGGACTTTCCTCATTGTGTTTTGAAGTGAAATTCGTGGAGATGTGTTTCCCCGGTCATCTTCTATAATTGCTCCGAAATTCCCACGGGAATAAGATGCTTTGCATTAATGTAACCTAAGTACACACAGTCTGATGGTTCTCGACATCAAAAGACTCACTGGGGATCATCCTAGATTGATTTCTTTTCCTGGTTTCCATTATTGATCTTTAAGACAAAATAAGCTTGGTGACACGTATCTACACAGATGACGAGAAGAAACAGTAACCCATAAGAAATGCAGGCGACTTATTGAAGTTCGAAGAGATATTAAAAAGAATAGAGGATTGTACGGTGAACTGTGAATTGAAATTAAACCACTTAAAATATATAATTAATGACGTCTGAACGCGACGAATACAAATGTATACGGTGTGAGAAAATCCGCTCGTAGTTGTTCTCGCAGAGCGCAATTCTACTAGAGGGATGCAGATAAAAGTTACGGTACACCGTTTGCTTTCAGACACGATATTTTTTTAATTCTTAGCTACTTTTGACAATTTCTAGAACATACACTTGCTTGCCTCCAGAAACGCCCATTATTGTTGCACCTCCGCTTCACACAAAAAATAAAATCCTATTGCAACATGTACAAGGGCACGTCACAATGTTAGACATAAGATTAAGAGGCAATTTTGACAAAGCTCAACTCTGCTACTCAGTTTTCTCCTTGCTAAACTGAAGGAATACAAGAACTAACTTGATGATTGGGTTGTGCAAACTTGCCTCCCGAATAAAAGCAACATACACAAGTCTCATTAAGGTAGATCAAGAGGTAATCCATGATAGATAACATGCCTGGCGGCCAAAACACAGATAATATTGAGATTTTTTAAACCAGGGTTTAGTTATATCCAGAATCTTTGGTTGAGATCATGAATCAATTGATGTTAGACCACCGTTGGAAACCTGGAAGCACTGGACGGCCGTTTCGTCCTAGTATGGGACTCCTCAGCAGTGCGCATCCACGATCCCGCGAGCGGGATTCGAACCCAGGACCTACTGGCTTCGCGCCTGAGCACTTAACCATTAGACCACTGAGCCGGCATCCAATGGTGTTAGTGTCTAACATCAACCAATCCACGAAATTGCGCGACCAACTTCCATTGTACTGAGGTAGATACCTGTCTCTACCCGACACGGATTAGCTCCACAGGTCACGACTTCTCACTAGAACTCCGAGAATTCCCTCACGAAGCTAGTCACTAGTGAGCTAATGGTTAAGTGCTCAGGCGCGAAGCCAGTAGGTCCTGGGTTCGAATCCCGCTCGCGGGATCGTGGATGCGCACTGCTGAGGAGTCCCATACTAGGACGAAACGGCCGTCCAGTGCTTCCAGGTTTCCAACGGTGGTCTAACATCAATTGATTCATGATCTCAACCAAAAATCTTAACAATCTCCACAACCCTCATACTGATATCCAGAATCATCTCACAGCTGACGTGAACAAAACCATTAGGTAGATTGCTTTAAAGAAGCCACTTATTTATACACAAAAAGAATTAACCTTCAACTTCTTAGCACGTCCATCAGGTTAAGCGCAAAAAGCTACTTTGACTGTTCATATTGGATAGTCCCGAAGACCTGAAATCGTACTGTAAAATCAAGAATTCAGAGTCAAGAAAACAATTTGTTTCCACAAATTAGTTAGAAAAGATATTAGGATAGTTGTCTCGATATATATTCGACTTCATTCTTGTGGACACAAGTTTTACAAGTTGACGAGGTTTTGAAATAACAGTAACACGAGTTAGTCTGAAATACGGCATTCGTTTAACTAAGTAGTAACCATATCAACGTGATCATAAGCGCGGTTATTCCAGTCATATGAAAGATGTTGCTTCCTAATGAGCGAGTGACTATTAAAGAAAGAAAACATGACTATCTTTACGGTAACTGCTGAAGCATTTATTTGGTATTCTTTCGTAGATCCATTATACAGCCTTTCAAGTGCAGCTGACCATGAACGGGTTGCAACTAAAGATCATTTAGATGTGTCGAAAATGCGAAAATTGTTCTCCTTTCAGAATTTGTTCAGTGAAGTACCTATATATCGTCCTTATATATGGCATCTAAATCAAAGTGATCCCGTACCTATGTTGGCGTCTAGATATTTCCACCCTGTAGATGTTTGCAAAAAGTTAATCCAAATGTAAGAATTCGAATACTTTAATCCTCAAAGAAGTCAGCTTAAAAAAAACAAAGATCCAATGATTGGTCATGTGTTTGAGGGTATGGATCGGTCGAAATATTTCACCTATCATACCTTATCTCTTTGTCCATATGTGAGTTAAGTACGTCTGTTTATCGATTGCTTATATGATTTTCAATACACGTATATGATGCAATTTTTTATCTAATGTCGTTTGATAGATGAGCTGTAATTTCAACAACTGTATTAAAACAAGGACAAGTTAAATGAGCAGTCACACGTGTTACCTTATGATTCGATCGAAAATTTGGATGGCTATACACGTAGTATACCAAACAGCGCCATACCACGTCATGGAAATAGCAATGAACAAATGCGTAGGACAGCTCTTTAAAGAAGCTGAGTAACCTCATAGTTGACTAACATTTTTAGTCTTTAAAAGATATAACGGCGAGGCTATAATTTATGGACGAACTAATCAGATTTAAGATAGCAGGTCTTGGATTTTTGCACGAAATTCATCCACTCATTTGGCTTAATACTGTGACGGTAATACAGATGATGCCAGTTCGTGGTGAAAACCCTAAATAGAATTCCTAACCCTACCATCAACTGTAAATCATAATTATAATTCCTCACACAGCTTTATAACCCTCATTTAGTCCTAGTTTGCGGATGGATTTTTTCAAGGTTGTTTTAATATAAGTAAAAGAGCAGTTCCAGTTTGGAAAGGGTAGGAGGCTAGATGGTCTGTGCTAGTCCTGGAAATGATGGTCTCAGTTTGTTCAACTTTCTTTTAAAAGAGTCGACAAATGAAGCTTCAACTGCATGTTGAGGTAATGAATTCTACTCGTTGATGATTCAATGGGAAAGTCAATAGTCAGCTGACAGGTAATTTGTTCTGGGCTTGTGAGCTTTTTGGAGTGTCCTCGTGAATTCTCTGTTTTGGAAGACGAAAAATGTAGGCATATCAGATGCAAACATATCACTCAGTAATTTGAAAACCGTAATCAAGTCATTTCTAGTTATTCGATACGGTGATGAGAATAGGTTTAGTTAAGCTAGTCGAACATGATACTGGAGCCTTGCTATTCCGGGAATCGGCTTAGTTGCTGTTATCTAAATCTTTTACAAAAGCTCATTGTCTTTTTAGGTAGAGGCTAGCCGCTTGTATGCAGTACTCAAGTTTAGGACGCACGAATACTGTATACCGAGTCAAAAACATTTGAGCGTCGACGTGACTATAGTACCTACGTACTGACCATAGGGTTCCAAAGCCTTTGGTGGCTATCGCAAAGCAGTTTGTAGTAGTTTTTAAGTCTTGGCTAACGATGACTCCTAAATCATTGTGTGTCTGAACAACAGGTATCTCGATGTTATTTATCATGTATGTATCTGTACCTCGATGACCAATATGCATCACAATGCACTTGAAAGTATTTATCGGTAACTGCCAAGTTTGAGACCATTCAGATAATTTCTCCAGGTCATTTTAAAGTCCGACGATATCAACTAATTGCTTTCATCTGTATTTGTTCGTGTGTATGAGATAGAAGGGGTAGGTCGTGTGCGAAGTCCAAATCTTCTAATTGATTCCGAGCTGTCCATTGTATTCCGTGCTTCCCCTCAGATCCCGACCGTTGTTGCTACCTTGACGTGGTGGTCGGGCTTGCCTATCGTGATGAAGCAACCGAGCTATACTGGCTGGAACAACCGTTCCTCAAGGTCCTACCATGTCAGACAGGTCGGTTGAAGAGCGGTAAGACTAAAAGCAACAAACCCAAGGTCCGAAGGCGAAGTCGTACTGCTGACTGTACAGAGGTGTGACAGCAGTAAGGTGTTTCCTTCAAACAACTAACATGACAGCGATGCTGCCTTCCCACAAGGACGGGTGGGGTTAGAAAAGGTCGACCCTAAAAATGTCACACCCCGCCTTATCCCACGGATATCCATCTCCGGCGCTAAGGTCTCAATAAGTACGGAGCTAACACAAAAATTACCCATAAAGAGGTCGTGTATGACCGACCTCAAGCAGTTGTCCCTTGGGCACTGCGGTCACGCTCTCAGGTCACTAAGACCACCTTTAATCCAATTTCCTTTTCAGGTACCTCCAGAACAACCCTTCCACGGTGTGGGCAACCGGGAAGTGATAACCGCCCTCATACCTCTAACAGCACCCAAGACCACTGTATTCATAATCAACCTTCCTCTTCAATTCCTATCATTCCTCCTACATCGACTTTCAACCCTAAACTTCCTCCTTCGGCTTCTTCCTCAAGTGTCACCATAGCCAACGATTCTAGTGCTCAAAACTCTGTCCCAGGTCTACTGAAACCTCGCTCCAAACTACACATTGGAGCTTTCAACTTACGCACTCTATGTCAAATCGGTCAGCAGGCTTCCTTGGCTAAAACCCTAGAGTCTCTTTCCATTGATGTATGCTGTGTCTCCGAAACACGCATACAGGATTCCAGTGTGGTCATTCACTTGACCTCACCTCGGCAAAACGGAGAGCCAACGAGATACACCTTACGTGTATCTGGTGACCCGATGGCCAGTTCTCGTGGACTGGCAGGTGTAGGCATAGCACTAAGCATGAGGGCGGGACAAGCACTGCTAGAGTGGATCCCCGTCAACAGTCGTCTATGTGCTGTTCGGCTAAACGGCTCCGTAAGAACTCGGAAGGATAGGGACACACGTCGTTGCCTTTTTGTCGTTTCTGCCTACGCTCCCACTGACTGCAGCTCAGATGAAGTGAACGATGAATTTTACAGAAAGCTTTCTGAACTTCTTCAGAAAGCTAAACGCTCAGACATAGTACTCGTAGGGGGTGACTTTAATGCTCAGATAGGTAGCTTAAACCAAACAGAAAGGCATTTAGGTGGATATTTTACCATTCCGGCACAGTGAACATATAATGGTGACCGTCTGCTGCAACTGTGCTCAGACAATCGCTTGTTTTTAGCAAACACAAATTTCAAGCATAAGGAGAGACATCGTCTAACATGGCGACCCCCTACACCAAACCAACGATGGACTCAAATAGACCATATTGCCATCAGTCATCGTTGGAGAGGGTCGGTACAAGATTGTCGCTCATTCTGGAGTACCTGCTTGGACTCCGACCACGCCCTAATACGGGCACGCATCTGCTTGCGCCTCACCGGATGCAAAAAAGCCACATTAAAAAGACCCATTAGAACTGAGTTGAGTAACGAAAAACCCAAAATAGGTTCCAAAAACAACTGAGGTCACGCTTAGATAGTTCTGAAGACGAGGCTGACCCAGGTGTTGCTTGGAAAGACAAACAAGCAGCTGTGGAAACAGCAGGGACATCTATTAGCAACGTAAACCACAGAGTTTCAAAGAACCAGTGGATTTCTTCAAAGTCTATCACACTAATGGATTCTCGCAAACTCGTCCCATCAGGTTCCGAACATGATGAAGAGCGACAACAAATCAGATCTAGTTCACTTGATATTGTTTTATTTGAATCTTCCCATTGATGTTTTAGGACTGAAGTTGATCAGTCTCTTATTGGCATATGTGCATACTGTGCGTATGCCTCGATATTGCCTTAATTTACAAGCATTATAAGCAGAGATGGATAGTGGCTAGCAGTGGAATCCAGGACGCGCGTTTCGTCCTGTTTGGGACTCGTCAGCTTGATGTACCTGCATCTCAGAGTTGATGTTCACTCTGGGACTCGAACTCAGTACCGTTCGCTTCAAACGCCATCGCGTTATCCACTTAGCTACTGAGTCCTGATAGCCACTTGCTTGTGCAATGGGGTGAAGTTTAATTCACTTGATATTGTTTTATTTGAATCTTCCCATTGATGTTTTAGGACTGAAGTTGATCAGTCTCTTATTGGCATATGTGCATACTGTGCGTATGCCTCGATATTGCAAGCATTATAAGCAGAGATGGATAGTGGACTCAGTAGCTAAGTGGATAACGCGATGGCGTTTGAAGCGAACGGTACTGAGTTCGAGTCCCAGAGTGAACATCAACTCTGAGATGCAGGTACATCCAGCTGACGAGTCCCAAACAGGACGAAACGCGCGTCCTGGATTCCACTGCTAGCCACTATCCATCTCTGCTTATAAATCAGATCTAGGTTAAGAAAAAGTCTAAGAAACGACCGTGAGCAGTGGTGGGCAACGAAAGCGAAAGAGATGGAAAAGGCGGCGACAATAGGGAACACAAGACAGCTTTACAGACTAATAAAAGAAACTGGAATTAATAAGTCAAGTGTAAGTGAGATTATATCGGAAAAAGACGATACACTCATCTGCTCCCAATCCAGGCGTTTAGAACGATGGGTGGAACATTTCAGAGAACAGTTCAGCTGGCCTTCAGCTACTCTACAACTACCCTCCATTCCCAGACAGCGTGAATGGAACATTGAAGTAGGTCCCCCAACTCTTGCTGAAGTTCAAAAGGCTATAGATAATCTGAAACGAGGAAGGGCAGCTGGTCAAGATGGACTGGCTCCAGAAGTCTTTAAGGATGGTGGTCCAATTTTAGCGATTAGGTTGACTAATATTTTAGCTAAGATCTGGGAGTTAGACGTTATTCCATCTGACTGGTCACAATCACTTATCAGCCCAATATATAAGAAAGGGTCAAAATCATCCTGTGACAACCACAGAGGGATTAGTTTAACTAATATAATATCTAAAATACTAGCCTCAATAATAATCAGACGCCTAACTAAGACTCGTGAACTGCAAACACGAGAGAATCAAGCTGGCTTCGGACCTGGTCGTGGCTGCATCGACCACATATTCACCATTCGTCAGGTTCTAGAACATAGGCATACTTATCGGCGTCCGACGATGGTGGTCTTTCTTGAGTTAAAAGCAGCATTCGACTCTGTAGATCGCGAGATTCTGTGGCAGTGTCTGTCATTGAAAGGCGTACCCCAGAAGTACATAAACCTTGTAAAGGCTCTTTACTCGAACACTACTAGTCGAGTCAGAGCTTATGGAGAACTGTCATCTACTTTTGCAACCTCAAGTGGTGTCCGTCAAGGATGTCCACTTTCTCCATTTTTGTTTAACTTCATCATAGATCTACTGATGGAAATAACTTTCTCGTCGACTGAGTTCTCGGGTATTGATCTCCATC